TAATATGGTTCTTTATGTTCAATTTACTTTCTTTTATATTGTACTTTTAAGAGTCCAAGTTTTTTTCTAGGTTTTTAATTTTTGCTTTTTGATCTTTTGTTATTAATTTTGTACCTTTAAGAGTTTAATTTCTAATATCCATTTTCACGTAGGGATTTGATTACTGGCTTGATTGCCTTTTTCCCTTTTGACTACTCTCCCTTTTCTCCTCCTGGTCGCCTCTATCTCCTTCCTCCCTCTTCTCTATATAACTCTGTGAATCTCTGGATGGTCCTGGCTGTGGAGAGTTGTTGCACCATTAACCTAAGTGTTTTGTCTTCTGCATTGTGTGGACAGAGAAGTCTTGATGCTATTGTCAGAGGTTGGGATTGAAACCCAGAGGCAGGAGGCTCAACTCCAGAATTTAGGACTATCACAGAATTCCTGACCCCAGGAAATATTGTTCTCTACTCCATACCTACACTGAGACCAAGTTCCACCCAAGAGCCAGCAAGCTCCAGTGCTAGACAGACACCCCACGATAATGGTTTTTTTCTTTTCAAAAACATTTTAAGAAATCTTTCTAAATGATATTTGGATTTTTTTAAAACACTTAAAAATTTTTCCTAATTTTTAAAAAATTGTGGTATAATTGGCATACAACATTATGTTGGTTTCAAGTGTGCAACATAATGATTCAATATTTGTGTATATTACAAAATGATCAGCCCAAGAAGTCTAATTTAACATCCATCACTATACATAGTTAGAAATTTTTTCTTGTGTTGATAAATTTTAAGATTTATTCTTAGCAGTTTTTTAATCTTAGCAATTTAAAAATATACAACAGTTGTCATGCTATACATCACATTCCTATGACCTATTTATTTTATAACTGAAAGTTTGTATCCTTTGATTTCCTTTACCCATTTGGCCCACCCTCTGCCTCCTCCTTCTGGCAACCACCAATCTATTTCCTGTATCTATGGGCTTTCTCTTTTTAATGTCTCTGTGTATCAGTGAGATCATATAGTATTGGTCTTTCTCTGACTTGTTTCACTTAGCATAACACCTTTAAAGTCCATGTTGCAGATGGCAAGATTTCATTCTTTTATGGCTGAATAGCATTCTATTGTATATATTTACCACATTTTCTTTATTCATTCATCCATCGATGGGCACTTAGGTTCTTTCCACGTCTTCAGTTCAGTTCAGTCGCTCAGTCATGTCTGACTCTTTGCGACCTCAAGAACCGCAGCACGCCAGGCCTCCCTGTCCATCACCAACTCCCAGAGTCCACCCAAACCCATGTCCATTGTGTCGGTGATGCCATCCAGCCATCTCATCCTCTGTCATCCCCTTCTCCTCCTGCTCTCAATCTTTTCCAACATCAGGGTCTTTTCAAATGAATCAGCTCTCTGCATTAGGTGGCCAAAGAATTGGGAGTTTCAGCTTCAACATCAGTCCCTCCAATGAACACCCAGGGCTGATCTCCTTTAGGATGGACTGGTTTGATCTCCCTGCAGCCCAAGGGACTCTCAAGAGTCTTCTCCAACACCACAGTTCAAAAGCATCAATTCTTTGGCGCTCAGCTTTCTTTATAGTCCAACTTTCACATCCATACATGACTACTGGAAAAACCATAGCCTTGACTAGAAGGACCTTTGTTGGCAAAGTAATGTCTCTGCTGTCTAGGTTGGTCATAACTTTCCTTCCAAGGAGCTTTTAATTTCATGGCTGCAATCACCATCTGCAGTGATTTTGGAGCCCAAAAAAATAAAGTCTGACACTGTTTCCACTGTTTCCCCATCTATTTGCCATGAAGTGATGGGACCAGATGCCATGATCTTAGTTTTCTGAATGTTGAGCTTTAAGCCAACTTTTTCACTTTCTCTTTCACTTTCATCAAGAGGCTCTTTAGTTCTTCACTTTCTGCCATAAGGGTGGTGTCATCTGCATGTTTGAGGTTATTGATGTTTCTCCCAGCAATTTTTATTCCAGCTTGGGCTTCTTCCAGCTCAGGGTTTCTCATGATGTACTCTGCATATAAGTTAAATAAGCAGGGTGACAATATACAGCCTTAACGTAGTCCTTTTCCTATTTGGAACCAGTCTGTTGTTCCATGTCCAGTTCTAATTTTTGCTTCCTGACCTGTATACGGTTTCTTAAGAGGCACGTCAGGTGGTCTGCTATTCCCATCTCTTTCAGAATTTTCCACAGTTTATTGTGATCCACACAGTCAAAGGCTTTGGCATAGTCAATAAAGCAGAAATAGATGTTTTTCTGGAACTGTCTTGCTTTTTCAATGATCCAGCAAATGTTGGCAATCTGATCTCTGGTTCCTCTGCCTTTTCTAAAACTAGTGTGAATATCTGGAAGTTCACGTTTCACATATTGCTGAAGCCTGGCTTGGAGAATTTTGAGCATTACTTTACTAGCGTGTGAGATGAGTGCAATTATGAGGTAGTTTGAGTATTCTTTGGCATTACCTTTGGGATTGGAATGAAAACTGACCTTTTCCAGTCCTGTGGCCACTGCTGAGTTTTCCAAATTTGCTGGCATAATGAGTACAGCACTTTGACAGCATCATCTTTTAGGATTTGAAATAGCTCAACTGGAATTCCCTCACCTCCACTAGCTTTGTTCATAGTGATGCTTCTTAAGGCCCACCTTACTTCACATTCCAGGATGTCTGGCTCTAGGTGAGTGTGAGTGATCACACCTTCGTGATTATCTGGGTCATGAAGATCTTTTTTTGTTCAGTTCTTCTGTGTATTCTTGCCACTTCTTAATGTCTTCTGCTTCTGTTAGGTCCATATGATTTCTGTCCTTTTTTGAGCCCATCTTTGCATGAAATGTTCCCTTGGTATCTCTAATTTTCTTGAGATCTCTAGTCTTTCCCATTCTATTGTTTTCCTCTATTTCTTTGCATTGATCACTGAGGAAGGCTTTCTTATCTCTCCTTGCTAGTCTTTGGAACTCTGCATTCAAATGGGTATATCTTTCTTTTTCTCCTTAGCTTTTTGCTTCTCTTCTTTTCACAGCTATTTGTAAAGCCTCCTCAGACAGCCATTTTGCTTTTTTACATTTCTTTTTCTTGGGGATGGTGTTGCTCCCTCTCTCTTGTACAATATCACGAACCTCTGTCCATAGATCATCAGGCATTCTGTCTATCAGATCTAGTCCCTTAAATTGATTTCTCACTTCCACTGTGTAGTCATAAGGGATTTGATTTAGGTCATACCTGAATGGTCTAGGGGTTTTCCCCACTTTCTTCAATTTAAGTCTGAATTTGACAATAAGCAGTTCATGATCTGAGCCACAGTCAGCTCCCAGTCTTGTTTTTGCTGACTGTATAGAGCTTCTCCATCTCTGGCTGTGAAGGATATAATCAGTCTGATTTTGGTTTTGACCATCTGGTGATGTCCATGTGTAGAGTCTTCTCTTCCACATCTTAGCTATTGTAAATAGTTCTGCAGTGAACATGAGTTTGCACATATCTTTTCAAAAGTTAGTTTTTTAATTTTCTTCAGATAAATACCTTGAGGTAGAATCATTTGGTAGTTCTGTTTTTAATTTTTTGAGGAATTTTACTGTTTTCCATAGTGGCTGCACCAATTTACATTTCCACTGACAGTGCTGAGGCATCCCTTTTCTCCAGATTCCTGCCAAAACTTCTTATTGCTTGTCTTTTAATGATGGCCATTCTAACAGGTGTGAGGTGATATCTCATTGTGGTTTTGATTTGCATTTCTTTGATGATTAATGATGTTGAGCTTCTTTTCTTCTGTACCTAGTAGTCTTCACTGTGTTTCCTAAGTTGGATTTTTTGCCATTAAGTTGTCTGATTTCTTTATATGTTTTGGATATTAAGCCCTTATCAGATATATGCTTTGCAAATATTTTCTTCCATTCTAAACTTTCCTAAATCTGTTATCAGTATTTTGAGCAAGGCACAATGGTTACCTAATCTTAGAAGAATCAAAAAGTTTAATATTAGTCTTATTAACTGCTTTATGGGAGTAAGGAAGCTAGAGGTTTTTATTTTCATATGTATCATTACGTGAGGCCTGTGAAATGTATATAATGTATGTTTTCCCTAAAATCTCTGATCATGCAGGGTTCTAAAGATTCTGTGAGCTTTAAAATATATTTGAGTATATTTGAAAATAATTTGCTTTGTGAAGTGGCCATGTGAATCTGTTTTTTGATATTTAACAAAGAATTTCATTTAGAAGATTTATTGTTTATTGTAACAGGTTAAAAATCTGTTTATTGTAGCAGATTAAAAATATTCCAGAAGGTGCTTTTATTAATATTATTAATGCTCAGAAGCAATGCAAGAAATTAGAGACATGTTGGTTATGGAGACCTCTGTTACACAAGTTTGGAAAAACTTCACTTTTGATAATGTGAAAGGCATCAATTATGGTTATCCGTTATGTTTTAGTTTTTAGGAATTCTGTGGCTTAATCAGGTTCAGCCATATGGAGTCTGGAGCTCAAGTCTGTTTAGAAAATGGTGAACATTTCTACAGATTCAGTAACTGGTTAATGTTGTTCCTAACTGAGCATGTCATTTTTTTCTCAGAAAGTAGGGTCAAGACTTCAGAGTATGTCTGCCTAATGCTTGAATGTATTAATAAGTATCTCAGTTTTACAGAGCATATATCTAAGTCTCCCTTCAGAATTTCTACATTTTGTAGTTTTGAAGACATTGTTAATTTCTATTTTATAGTTTTGAAATGACCTATTAATAACAATACTGTTTGTGAAATCAATGCATTTTACTTTGAGAATGAGTAATGATGATTAAGTTATAAACAAGTGACTCCCAGGAAGTAGAAAATTTATTTGAAAATTGCACTCTTCCTTTAGCTAAAATAAACTTTATCTCCAGTTTAGTTTTACTCTAAGGATCATTGAAGTTTATTCACGCTATAGGAACAGATTTCAGAATGATTTGCTAGTTCAGCCAATGTTGATACTTCACGTCACTTTTATTATTTATTGTTATTTCAGAAGCTGTTGAAAACCTAATTGCAACAGACGTTACACCTAGCACACATCAGGCAATTGATAGAATCTTCATGGATATAGGGAATATCAACAGAGAGTCTATGGCTGACGTACCGGATTGTCAGGTTGGTATAAAAATAACTTTATGATAAGTTTTTTTTTATGATAAGTTTTGATGATTCACTGTTTTAATTAATGTATAAATAAAAAAACAATCTTCATGATTAACATGAAATCTGAATACATAGAAATCAAGCCTAATGGCACATTTAGGGAAAATAGTGTTTTAGTAACTAATGGAAAAATGTCTCAAATTTAATATGTGCTATTTAACCTCTCTAGGCTTCACTCTTCTCATACGTTAAAAGGAGAACAATAAAACCCACCTCCCAACGTTGTTATGAATAGTGAACAAAATAACATATTTAAGGTCCTGGGTTGTTGTTGTTCAGTCGCTAAGTTGTGTCTGACTTTATGACTCATGGACTGTAGCATGCCAGGCTCCCCTGTCCTTCACTATCTCCTGGAGTTTGTTCAGATTCATGTCCTCTGAGTCTGTGATGCTATCTAACCGTCTCATTCTCTCCTGCCCCCTTCTTTAGCTTTCAGTCTTTCAGGGCCTTTTCTAATGAGTCGGCTCTTTGAATGAGGTGGCCAAGGTACTGGAGCATCAGCTTCAGCATCATTCCTTTCAGGGTTGGTTTTCTTTAGGATTGACTGGTTTGATCTCCTTGCAGGCCAAGGGACTCTCAAGAGTCTTCTCCAGCACCACAGTTTGAAAGCATCAGTTCTTCAGCGCTCAGCCTTCTTTATGGGTCCAGCTGTCACACCTGTATATGATTACTGGAAAAACCATAGCTTTGACTGTATAGACCTTTGTTGGCAAAGTGATGTCTCTGCTTTTAATATGCTGTTGAGATTTGTTATGTAGCTTTTATTCCAAGGAGCAAGCATCTTCTAATTTCATGGCTGTGTTCACCATCCACAGTGATTTTGGAGCCCCTTCTACGTGCCATGAAGTGATGGGACCAGATGCCATGATCTTAGTTTTTTGAATTAAACCAGCTTTTTCACTTTCCTCTTTCACCCTCATCAAGAGGCTCTTTAATTCTTCTCTTTCTGCCATTAGGGTGGTGTCATCTGCTTATCTGAGATTGTTGATATTTCTCCTGGCAGTCTTAATTCCAGCTTGTGATTAATTCAGCCCTACATTTTGCATGATGTACTCTGCATGTAAGTTAACAGGGTGACAATATACAGCCTTGTCATACTCCTTTCTCAGTTTTGAACCAGTCAGTTGTTCCATGTCCAGTTGTAATTGTTACTTCTCGCCTGCATACAAGTTTCTCATGAGACGGGTAAGATGGTCTGGTATTTCTATCTCTTTAATAATTTTCCACAGTTGTGATTAACACAGTCAAAGGCTTTAGCATAGTCAATGAAGCAGAAGATGTTTTTCTGAAATTCCCTTGCTTTCTGTTTGATCCAACGGATGTTGGCAATTTGATTTCTGGTTCCTTTGCTTTTTCTAAACCCATCTTGTACATAGTAGTTTGTCACTTAACAGTAATTCTCTTTTCCTTCCTTTTTCAGTAAAATAAGAAACTACTGGTAGTGGGGAACTCAGTTGAATATACACCTTTGGAGGTAGTGCTTTTTTGGGGAGGAGGGTATTTTTTTCCTAGTGTTTAATTGGAAGTCTATCACTTAATTTTGAAATTGCCTTGAGGTTTTGAAATGAGGTTCTGAAACAGCTTGAAAATGTTTACCTTGGGCAGATCCTTCCATTTAGGTGACTGTACAAATGGAAAGGTGAGAAGAAAGTTTATTGTAAATATCTTTCATGTGAAGGACACAGCAACCCACTCCAGTATTCTTGAATGGAGAATCCCATGGGCAGAGGAGCCTGGCAGGCTACAGTCAATGGGGTTGCAAAGAGTTGGACATGACTGAGTGACTAACACACACACACATGTATGTAGCTTTATATATGATTCATATGCCATATAATTTACCCAATTGTACATTTCAATGATTTTTAGTATTTCACAGAGTTGTATACTCATCACCAAAGTGAACTTTAGAACATTTTCCTCACCCCAGAAAGAAACACACTCTCTGTTTCCTTCTCTCTTCTCCAGCTCTAGACAGCTTCTAATCTACTTTCTGTCCCTATGGATTTGCCTATTCTGGACATATTATATAAATGGAACTATACAATATGTGGTCTTTTGGGACTAACTTCTTTCACGTGAAAGTGAAAGTGCAAGTTGCTCAGTTGTGTCAGACTCTTTGCGACCCCCAGGCCAGAATACTGGAGTGGGTAGCCTTTACCTTTTCCAGGGGATCTTCTCTTAGCATGTTTTCAAAGTTCTTGCATGTTGTAGTATGTGTCTGTAACTCATTACCTTTTATGGCTGAATAATATTTCATTCTTTGACTGTGTCACATTTTGTATATCCATTCATCTGTTGATGAACATTTGGGCTGTTTGTACCTTTTGGCTGCTATCAATAATGTTGATATGGCACTATTTACAATACCTAGGACATGCAAGCAACCTAGATGTCCACTGACAGATGAATGGATAAGGAAGTTGTAGTACATATACACAAAGGAATATTGTTGTTGTTCAGTCACTAAGTCATTTCTGACTCTTTGCAACTCCATGGACTGTAGCACACCACCACTCCCCTGTTCCTCACCATCTCCCAGAGTTTGCCCAAGTTCATGTCCATTGAATTGGTGATGCTCATCCATCTCATCCTCTGCCACCCTTTTTTTTTTCTCTGCCACCCTTTTCTTTTGCTTTCAATCTTTCCCAGCATCAGGGTCCATCAGTAATGGAATATTATTCAGCTATAAAAAGGAATGCATTTGAGTCAGTTCTAATGAGGTAGATCAGCCCAGAGCCTATTTTACAGAGTGAAGCAAGTCAGAAAGAGAAAGACAAATATTGTATATTTAATGCATATATATGGAATCTAGAAAGATAGTATTGATGATCCTATTTACAGGGCAGCAAAGGAGACACAGACTTTGCTGTTTGTATCTAAAGAATAGACTTCTGGACACAGTGAGGGAAGGACAAGGTGAGATGATTTGAGAGAATAGCATTGAAACATATACGCTAGTATATGTAAAATAGATAGCCAGTGGGAATTGGATGTATTGCACAGAAAACCCAAAGCTGGTGCTCTGTGATAACTTAGAAGGGTGGGATGGGGAGGGAGGTGGGAGGAGGGTTCAAGAGGGAGGGGACATATATATACCTATGGCCAGTTCATGTTGACGTATGGCAAAAACCATCACAATATTGTTAAGTAATTATCCTCTAATTAAAAAAAGTATTAATCCAAGTAAAAAGCCCTGCTGATATTTTAATAAGGATTATATTAAATTCATATATAAATCTGAGGAGAATGAATGTCTTAAAAGTAATGCTGCTATTAACATTTGTGTACAGGTTTTACATATTTAAAAAAATTTATTTTTTAATTGAAGGATAATTGCTTTACAGAAATTTTGTTGGTTTCTGTCATTTCTTCTAGGTATGTACCTAAGAGTGAATTTGCTGGTCATATAGTAACTCTGTTTTATTTTTGAGGAACTGCTGGATTGTTTTCCAAACTAAAATTTACCATCTTAACTATTTAAATGTAAAATTCAGTAGTATCAAGTACATTTACATCATTGTGCAACCAATTCCTGAACTTTTTTCATCTTGAAAAACTGAAATTCTATACCTGTTAAATAACAACTACATTTTCTTTTTCCCCAGACTCTGTCAACCACCATTCTGCTTTCTATCTCCATAAGTTTGACCACTCTTGGTACTTCTTATAAGTGGAATCATAACAGTACTTATTGTTTTGTGACTCGAGGGTGTGTGGACTTAGTTGTGGCGTGCAGGCTTAGTTGTCCTGAGAAATGTAGACTCTTCCTGGACCAAGAATCAAACTATGTCCCCTGTGTTGGCAGGTGGAGTCTTAACCACTGGGCCACCAGGGAAGTCCATGATCACTATCTTAAATGACTGAATAATATTCCATCTAGTAGATTTATCATAATTCATCTATATAATTCTTTATTACTGAGTATTTATATTGTTCTTAATTTTTCACTATTGTAAATAATGTTATGAGGAACACTATTAAGTGCAGAGATTATCCCCTCCATATTTTAGATTATTTCAGTAAAACAATTACTGTGTCAAAAGATAAGAACATTTTTTGGCTCTTTTTACATATTGTTAAATTGCTTTCCAAAATACCAAAAAGGCAACTTCTTTAAGTTGCTTTATTCTGAATGTTTATATTTCCCCCTAAATACCATTTGTTCTTCTGGGAAATTTTGAGTCAAATATTAGCTCCATGTGCTTTTGATGAAACATATCAAATAATACTTCATGTGAGAGTCATCATTAGGTCAGTTGTGGCATGGGGATATGTGAGAGAGATGGAGGTGAGCATGATAATTAGCTACAGAATAGTTAGTGAAATGATGGCCATGCCAAATAAATAATCTGTCTAAAGGGGAGCTCATCAGGGAAATTTGAAACCGTAGGGGGAAAAAGTGACACTGGAGAAAATAAACTAATAAAATATAATTGTGTACCATTATTGTACACAAACTGTGTTTAAATTTTTTCCATTTATTATTCCTCTTAGTCATTTGCTATCAATATATTTATAAGAATGGTAGGTATATAACTTTTATTGTAGTCACTATAGCACACTGGGAGATTTAGGCCTGAGCTGTGTCATACTGGTCTCAGGCAGTAGTACCACCCAGGATCAACTATTGTCTCTAGAGATCTCTTGCCAGAAGCCAACTTAGTGCACATTTTATTCTTGTGATGCTATGAGATTGATTCATTTTTTCATCTGGTTGACTAGGTTCCACCTGAAAGAAAGATAAACCCCAAAAGAAGCTGCCAAAATATTTGCTTCCCTTGTTCCTAGAACAGGACATAGTAAAATGAATCTTATTATTTGAATATGTATTCTTTACTTAGCACTTTGGTAGGTAATGTGAGTTCTACATAAATTGAGTAAGATATGATCTTTGATATCAAGAAGCCTAGTTGGGAAATAAGAGTAACAAAAACAAAGGATAAATGATACAATGAATAATTAATTGTTCAGTTATGTGAAACTTAGTGAATACAAGGATTCAAAGAAGAGAAAGATAATGAAGAATGTAGCGGTTGTTGAAAATTTCATGTATGTTCTTGGTGAGGTTGAATTTGAATTTGAATTACATAAAGATAAGGGGAGGAGGTATATCTGGTGAAGCCAACAGTATGAATTTCTTGTTGTTTAGTCACTAAGTTGTGTCCTACTCTTTCCGGTCCCATGGACTGCAGCATGCCAGGCTCCCCTGTCCTTCACTATCTCCTGAAGTTTGCTCAAACTCATGTCCAACGAATTGGTGATGCCATCCAACCATCTCATCCTTTGTTGCCCCCTTCTCCTCCTGCCCTCAATCTTTCCCAGCATCAGGGTCTTTTCCAGTGATTTGGCTCTTCACATCAGGTGGCCAAAGTATTGGAGCTTCAGCATCAGCAACAGTCCTTCCAGTGAATATTCAGGGTTGATTTCCTTTAGGACTGACTGGTTTGTATGAATAAAGGTACACAGACAGGAATGAACAAGTTGTATTGATAGGACAGTGATATAATTACTCTGATGGTAAGTTTTTGGGAGAAAAGGTAAAATGAGACTAGGTTATGGAACACCTGTAAATAACCCACAAGAGTCACGTAAATGTGAAACATGCAAGAAAGAAAATATCATTGGAAGCAGACAGTATTTTAACTAAGAAAATGTTTCTGTTGCACAGATTGAAGAAATGGCAGTAAACCTGTGGAACTGGGCAATTACCAAGAAAATAGGTTTGGTGATAAATGAAGAACAGAAGGCTAAATGTATGTATACGTTTTGTAACTCATACTATGAGGAATATTCTTATTGTACATCAGATTGTGTTCCTGTAGTTTAAATATTTTGATCAGTTCTTAGGTGCACATTTGTTGAAAGAAAATTAAACGAAACAATCCTTAGACCGTAGTTTCTCGAGCAAACCCTGCCTTGGTTTTATGGTTTTTCAGAGGTTAGCTCTTTATTCATAGAAATTTAAAAGCTTCACTGCAGAAATAGTCTGGTTGTGAACAAAAAAGATGATTAAAAATGAGGCGGGGAAAATGAGAACTTGAAGAAATGTCAAAGGACATGGATTATTTCTCCGGAGAAGAGATGATCAGAATCTTCCGGATTCTAAAGAACCATCAAATAGGAGGTTCTCTTCTCCATTAAGAAAATAATGAAAAAATGTTGCTGTGTGAGGAATTTAGATTGAAAAATATCTGTAAAGAATAGTTTCTTCATGAGGTGGGTTGATAAACATTGGACTGAGTTACTGAGGAAAATTATAGAAGTTTTTGTGAGAGCAAACAAGAACAACAACTGAAAAAACTCCCAAACCATATTCATCTGCTTGGGTGTATTAAATGTGATCCACTGCCTGGCAGAGTATGAGCACTTTAGCTAAATGGGCAGGATCTAGTGTGCTGACAGTTACTGATTTCCAACAAGGATAGTGACAGTTAATGCATTTATGGAAAGTATATTGCCTCATTATAAAGAATATGTTGAGGCAACCTGTCAAAAGGTGAATCTCTGGAGTGCTTTGCCTTGTAGACAAATGAATTTTGTCTGTATGCAACAAATAGAATTTAATACTAAATATTTATCTGTATGAATATAAAGCAAACTGCATACAATTTCAGTGTAGGTATTGTGTACTTAGTGGTTAGTATAGTCAATAATATACTTACTTATTAGCCCATTATTCTTTTAAGATGTTTAGAGAACAGTTCTGTCTCTTTAACTCTCAGATATATGTTGATATCATTGCTCCTAGTAGAAGGCTTAGATCCTGGAGTTGTGAGGAGGGAAGAATTGGAAATTCATGTGTGGGAGAAATCTATTGCACAGATGAATTGTGTGATTTAAAAATGGGTTAATTCTAAACTCCCAGTCTGCATATCAAGGGACACTACTCTGGCTGTTTTTCACTTCTTGCCCAATAGTGGGTATTTGGTAGATGAAGTGGGAGCTGCAGCCCTAGGACCTTTCCTAATGTACTGCCTCTGCAGTTCTTAGATATTTGGGTGCTTGTTATGTGTACAGTACTTTTAAGATTCAGTGGAATACAGGATGTATATAGGGTTATCGTTACCATCTTTCTAAATTCCATATACATGTGTTAGTATACTGTAATGGTCTTTAGTGCAGGAAGCATCTGGTTTAAAAAATTTTTATTCTCAAAAACGTTGATTGGTTGGAAGATATTTTGTCTCAAAAACAAATTCAATGTGCCTGGATTATGTTATGTGATCAAAAAAGTCATTAAAGATTTATGCACTATAATTTTTTATTATTGGGAAGGATTATGGAACAATGGACAGAAATAGTAAAGCGAGAAGTAGAGGAATGACTTGTAAACTTTAGTTTTAGATCTGTTGTATTTGAGGTGACTGTAAAGTTAGAGATGTGAGACTGGAGCTTGTGTAAACGGTTGGGCTGCCTACAGATTTGATAGTTAATCACATGGAGGTGATTGTTGAAGCCACACAAGTTGTTGAATTCTTGGAGGGAGAAAAGAAAGAACAGTGGTTCTTAAATATTCGTATAAATGAGAGTCCCTTGTGGAGCCTTTTTCAAATACAGATGCCGAGGTCCCATCATTGGAGGTTTTGATTTTGGGGTTTAGGAGGAATTCTGGGCATGTCTATACTTTGAAAAAATTTCTTAGGAATTTTCATGCACAGCAAAATTTAAGAACCAATGGTGTTGAGAGAATAGTGAGATTTTAACCTTAATTCTTCCAGTTAAGTAAAAGAAGTGAAAGAGCAAGGATAGGAGACATAAAAGGGATAGTCAAAATATTCTAGAGGAGACTCATTATCCACTTCAGTTCAGTCACTCAGTTGTGTCCGACTCTGCAACCCTATGGACTGCAGCACATCAGGCTTCCCTGTCCATCACCAACTCCCGGAACTTGCTCATACTCATGTCCATCAAGTCAGTGATGTCATCCAATCATCTCATCCTCTGTCCTCCACTTCTCCTCCCACCTTCAATCTTGCCCAGCATCATGGTCTTTTCCAGTGAGTCAGTTCTTCACATCAGGTGGCCAAAGTATTGGAGCTCCAGCTTCAACATCAGTCCTTCCAATGAATATTCAGGACTGATTTCCTTTAGGACTGACTGGTTTGATCTCCTTGCAGTCCAAGGGACTCTCAAGAGTCTTCTCCAACACCACAGTTCAAAAGCATTGATTCTTTGGTGCTCAGCTTTCTTTATGGTCCAACTCTCAGGTCCATACATGACTACTGGAAAAACCATAGCTTTGACTAGATGGACATTTGTCGGCAAAATAATGTCTCTTCCTTTTAATACGCTGTCTAGGTTTGTCATAGCTTTTCTTCCAAGGAGCAAGGGCCTTTTAATTTCATGGCTGCAGTCACCATCTGCAGTGATTTTGGAGCCCAAGAAAATAAAAGTTTGTCCCTGTTTCCATTGCTTCCCCATCTATTTGCCATGGAGTGATGGGACTGGATGCCATGATCTTAGTTTTTTGAATGTTGAGTTTAAAGCCAGCTTTTTCACTCTCCTCTTTCATTTTCATCAAGAGGCTCTTTAGTTCCTCTTCATTTTCTGCCATAAGGGTGGTGTCATCTGCGTATCTGAGGTTATTGATAATTTCTCTCAGCAGTCTTGATTCCAGCTTGTGCTTCATCCAGCCCAGCATTTCGCATGATGGACTCTGCATATAAGTTAAATAAGCACTACCCACTTATTGAGTACATACTCCTTTATAGGGTTGTCAAACCATGTTATTGGTAGGCAGTAGGTAAAAGGGACAAGGTAAGACTCCAGCATGAAAATACCAGGCACATTATTCTTGAGGATTTAGAAAGGAATGGATTAAAGTGAAATAAACAGGACAAATAAAGAATTCACAAGTGCCAGCAGATGCAAATCTATGTTTTGTGTAAAGTTAGAGATGTGACAAAAAATCTTTGTTTTGTGTAAAGTCTGTCAACAAGCACCTAACCAGGATATTTATAGTATAGAGGGCCAAGAACAGGCTGATGAGAAGATGAGGATAGAGCAACAGCATCAAAGAAAACATCTTTATACTGAAATAGCATTCTGTCTTAGCCTCAGCTGCCTTTGGTCAGAAGGCTTAATGGTGATAATTATACACACCTGGATCAAGAATGTAGGCCTGGAACAAATTTCTTAGACTAAGACATTTCCCACAGAGGGACACTGCTTCATGCTGAACTAGGATAGAGTGAGGTGAAGGAAGTGGTAGTTTTCAAAAAGGTTATGATCATTGGGAAGTGTTGCTGTGAAGTCAGGGAAGCTGATCTTTGTGAGTGCAGCTTTAGTAAAATGATAATGAAGCCTAACAGATTGTAGGACATTAGGCAAAAGAGGGAGCAGTAATAAAATTGAGATAGTAGGTCATTCAATTCATGAAATTTTGAGACTTCCCTGGTGGTCCTTGTTAAGAACCACCTTGCAATGCAGGGGACACGGGTTTGATCCCTGATCGGGGAACTGAGATCCCACAAGCCTGCACCGCAACTAGAGAGACCACATACCTTAATCAGAAGACCCTGAGTGCTGCAATTAAGATCTGATGCAGCCAAATTAATTAAAAAAAAGTTTGGCAATAAGAGGAAGAGGTGAAATGAGATGGAAGCTTGAAGCACAGTGGAGTTAGTTGAATTTTTTCAAAGAAGGGAAATGGATATATTTGAAGGTAGAGGGGAAGGAATAGAGAGGGAAGCACTGAAGATATCTTTGGAGAGGGGAAATAATTGAGAGATCAGGGTTGTTGAGAATACTGAAAAATTAGTAAACTTTGAAAAAAAAAAGAAACATTTTAAAAACTGGAAAGGCAAGACAATGTAAATACATGTTTAGAAATTATTTTACTGTAAGTTTTTTTCCAGAAACAAATTTGTTGAGGGAATGAATAAATTTTACATTTTATGATGGTTCATAAAAATTTGATTACTTCAATTACCCTGAAATGTAAGCTGGGCAAATCTCTTTTTTTATTGGAATATTAGTTAAAATGATATTCACATAGAATGGCTGCAGAGTTTTAAAAATATCAAGGCAATTAGTTCAGTTATATGTGGAGTTATCTTTAAAAATCTGGGTATGATAGATCAATGGAACAGAATAGAAAGCCCAGAGATAAATCCACGAACCTATGGTCACCTTATCTTTGACAAAGGAGGCAAGGATATACAATGGAAAAAAGACAACCTCTTTAACAAGTGGTGCTGGGAAAACTGGTCAACCACCTGTAAAAGAATGAAACTAGAACACTTTCTAACACCTTACACAAAAATAAACTCAAAATGGATTAAAGATCTAAATGTAAGACCAGAAACTATAAAACTCCTAGAGGAGAACATAGGCAAAATACTCTCCGACATAAATCACAGCAGGATCCTCTATGACCCACATCCCAGAATTTTAGAAATAAAAGCAAAAATAAACAAATGGGACCTAATGAAACTTAAAAGCTTTTGCACAACAAAGGAAACTATAAGCAAGGTGAAAAGACAGCCCTCAGATTGGGAGAAAATAATAGCAAACGAAGCAACAGACAAAGGATTAATCTCAAAAATATACAAGCAACTCCTCTAGCTCAACTCCAGAAAAATAAATGACCCAATCAAAAAATGGGCCAAAGAACTGAACAGACATTTCTCCAAGGAAGACATACAGATGGCTAACAAACACATGAAAAGATGCTCAACATCACTCATTATCAGAGAAATGCAAATCAAAACCACAATGAGGTACCATTACACACCAGTCAGGATGGCTGCTATCCAAAAGTCTACAAGCAATAAATGCTGGAGAGGGTGTGGAGAAAAGGGAACCCTCTTACACTGTTGGTGGGAATGCAAATTAGTACAGCCACAATGGAAAACAGTGTGGAGATTTCTTAAAAAGCTGGAAATAGAACTGCCATATGACCCAGCAATCCCACTTCTGGGCATACACACCGAGGAAACCAGATCTGAAAGAGACACGTGCAGCCCAATGTTCATCGCAGCACTGTTTATAATAGCCAGGACATGGAAGCAACCTAGATGCCCATCAGCAGACGAATGGATGAGGAAGCTGTGGTACATATACACCATGGAATATTACTCAGCCATTAAAAAGAATTCATTTGAATCAGTTCTAATGAGATGGATGAAACTGGAGCCCATTATACAGAGCGAAGTAAGCCAGAAAGATAAAGACCATTACAGTATACTAACACATATATATGGAATTTAGAAAGATGGTAACAATAACCCTATATGCAAAACAGAAAAAGAGACTCCAATGTATAGAACAGACTTGTGGACTCTGGGAGAAGGCGAGGGTGGGATGTTTCAAGAGAACAGCATCGAAACATGTATATTATCTAGGGTGAAACAGATCACCAGCCCAGGTTGGGTGCATGAGACAAGTGCTCGGGCCTGGTGCACTGGGAAGACCCAGAGGGATCGGGTGGAGAGGGAGGTGGGAGGGGGGACCGGGATGGGGAATACATGTAAATCCATGGCTAATTCATTTCAATGTATGACAAAAACCACTGCAATGATGTAAAGTAATTAGCCTCCAACTAATAAAAATAAATGAAAAAAATAAAAAATAAAATAAAAAAAAAAAAATAAAACCTAAAAAAAATATAAATAAATAAAAATAAAAATCTGGGTATGTTTTATGATGAAAGAAACCACACAAATAAAAAGGTTATAGTTATTCAAGCTTTCCTATTTTCAGGATAAATGAACTGTACAATGAAGATATCTGTATTTTCTGAGTTATGCTTCAAGAACTTTACCTCATCTGAAGAAAATAATGTATTTAGGAATGTATTTAGGAAGTTTCACATTTTAGGAGAATAATCTTAAAATATTATGATATTCAGAAATTTTGTCAGATGTTGAATAGCTTTAGATTCCAATTCTACTTAGAATTTTCCTGCTGGCATGGTGCATACAAGAGCATCATATGAGTGCAGAAATTAAAATTTGAAAATTAGATATCTGTTTGACTTAAGGAAATTATTCATTTGGTAATTTTCAGATCATCTACTTTTGATAATTGATTTTTAAAATTTATTTATTTATTTTTTTCTTTTTTTTTCATTTGTTTTTATTAGTTGGAAGCTAATTACTTCACAACATTGCAGTGGGTTTTGTCATACATTGACATGAATCAACCATGGAGTTACATGTGATAATTGATTTTTTAAAAAGGCCTTTAAAAGTCCTATTTTTAACAATAAATATGATTTTACTTCACTCCTCTTTTCTCTTTATAGGTGTATATAAAAGGAGAATGAATGTTTTGTGTTTATGGGTGTCTAATTACTGAATTACTGTTTTGCAGTGCGGCATGTTGCTTGTAAGTTGATTCGCATGTGTGAACACCCAGATGCTTCAGAAGAATCCATTCAAAGACAAATTTTGGTAAGTCTTAATTAAACCAGGAAAGGGCACATGCAGTGAAATGGTCATTACTCCTGTGAAGATGGTTGAATTTAGTGTAAACATGGAAGAGGTGTTACATCTTTTAGTTCTGTCAATGTTGTTATTCAGTCTCTAAGTTGTGTTTGACTCTTTGTGACACCATGGACTGAAGCAGATTGGGCTTCCCTGTGCCTTACTATCTCCTGGAGTTTGCTCAAACTTGTATTCATTGTCAGTAATGCCATCCAAGCATTTCATCCTCTCTTGCCCCATTCTCCTCCTGCCCTCTGACTTTGCCAACATCAGGGTTTTTTCCAGTGAGTTAGTTCTTTGCATCAGGTGGCCAAAGTATTGGAGCTTCAGCTTCAGCATCAGCCCTTCCAATGAATATTCAGGGTTGATTTCCTTTAGGATTGACTGGTTTGATCTCCTTGCTGTCCAAGGGATTCTTTTTTTTTTTTTGTCCAAGGGATTCTTAAGAGTCTTCTCCAGCACCACACTTCAAAAGCATCATTTCTTCAGTGCTCACCCTTCTTTATGGTCCAGCTCTCACATCAGTACATGACTACTGGAAAAACCATAGCTTTGACTATACAGATGGACCTTTGTTGGCAGAGAGATGTCTCTACGTTTTAATATGCCGTCTAGGTTTGTCATAGCTTTTCTCCCAAGGAGCAACCATCTTAATTTCATGACTGCAGTCACCTTCCACAGTCATTTTTTAACCCAAGAAAAAAAAATATGCCACCGTTTCCACTTTTCCCCCGTTGGTTTGCCATGAAGGAATGGGACAGGATGTGATGATCTTGGCTTTTGAATGCTGAGTTTTAAGCCAGGCTTTTCACTTTCCTCTTTCACCTTCATCAAGGGCCTCTTCAGTTCCTCTTTGCTTTCTGCCATTAGAGTGGTATCATCTGCATATCTGAGATTGATTGTTGATATTTCTTCCGGCAGTCTTGATTCCAGTTTGTGATTCATCCAGCCCCGCATTTCACATGTTGTACTCTGCATATAAGTTAAGTAAGCTGAGTGACAGTATACAGCCTTGATGTACTCCTTCCCTAATTTTAAACCAGTCCTTTGTTCCATGTCTAGTTCTAACTGTTGCTTCTTGACCTGCATACAGGTTTCTCACAAGACAGGTAAGGTGATCTGGTATTCCCATCTCTTTAAGAATTTTCCACAGTTTGTTGTGATCCTCACAGTCAAAAGCTTTAATGTAGTCAGTGAAGCAGAAGTAGGCATCTTTCTGGAATTCCCTTGCTTTCTCTATGATCAGGCAGATGTTGGCAATTTGATCTCTGGTTCCTCTGCCTTTCCTAAATCCAGCTTGAACATCTGGAATTTTTTGGTTCATGTACTGCTGAAGCCTAGCTTGAAGGATTTTGAGCATTACCTTGCTACTGTGTAAAATGAGGAAAATTGTATGGTAGTTTGAACGTTCTTTGGTATTACCTTTCTTTGGGATTGGAATGAAAACTGACCTTTTTCAGTCCTGTGGCCTCTGCTAAGTTTTCCAAATTTACTGACATATTGAGTACAGCATCATCTTTTAGGTTTGAAATAGCTCAACTGGAATTCCATCACCTCCACTAGCTTTGTTCGTAGTAATGCTTCTTAAGGCCCACTTGATTTCATACTCCAAGATATCTGGCTCTAGGTCAGTGGCCACACACACCATCATGCTTATCCAGGTCAGTAAGACCTTTTTTGTGTAGTTCTTCTGTTTATTCTTTCCACCTCTTCTTATTCTCTTCTACTTCTGCTACGTCCTTACAGTTTCTCTTTTATTGTGTTTATCTTTGCATGAAATGTTCCCTTGGTATCTAATTTTTTTGAAGAGATTTCTATTTCTTTGGCTTGTTCACTCAGTAAGGCTTTCTATTCTCTCCTTGCTGTTCTCTGGAACTCTGCATTCAGTTGGGTATATCTTTCCCTTTCTCCTTTGCCTTTCCCTTCTCTTCTCAGCTATTTGTAAGGCCCCTTGAGACAACCACTTTGTCTTCTTGCATTTCTTTTTCTTGGGGATGGTTTTGGTCTCCACCTCTCGTACAGTGTTACAGACCTCCGTCCCCTTGAATCTATTTGTCACTTCCACTGTATAATCGTAAGGGATTTGATTTAGGTTGTACCTGAATGGCCTAGTGGTTTTCCCTACTTTCTTCACTTTAAGTCTGAATTTGGCAATAAGGAGTTAATGATCTGAGCCATAGTCAGCTCCCAGTCTTGTTTTTGCTGACTGTATAGAGCTTCTCCATCTTTGGGTAAAAAGAATATAATCAGATTTTGGTATTGACATCTGGTGATGTCCATGTGTAGAGTTGTCTCTTGTGTTATTGGAAGAGGGTGTTTGCTATCACCAGTGCATTCTCTTGGCAAAACTCTGTTGTCCTTTGCCCTGCTTCATTTTGTACTCCAAGGACATACTTGCCTGTTACTCCAGTTATCTCTTGATTTCCTACTTTGCCTTCCTGTCATCTATGATGAAAAGGACATCTTTTTTTGGTGTTTTAGAAGGTGTAGGTCTTCATAGAACTGTTCAACTTAAGCTTATTTGGCATTTAGTGGTTTGGACGTAGACTTGGATTTTTGTGATATTGAGTGGTTTGCCTTGGAAACGAACAGAGATCATTCTGTCATTTTTGAGATTAGCCCCCAAGCACTGCATTTTGGACTCTTTTGTTGACTATGAGGGCTACTCCATTCCTTCTAAGGGATTCTTGCCCACAGTAGTAGGTATAACATTCATCTGAATTAAATTCTCCCATTCCCATCCATTTTAGTTCACTGATTCCTAAAATGTCACTGTTCACTGTTGCCATCTCCTGCTTGACCATGTAGTTGATATGTGATCTTATAGCATTATGGTCAGAAAAGATATTTGAAATGATATCTGTTTTTTAAAATTTACCAAGGCTTGATTTGTGACTCAAGATGTGATCTCTCCTGGAGAATGTTCCATGTGCACTTGAGAAAAAGTGCAGTCTACTGTTTTTGGATGAAATGCCCTTTAGGTGTCAAGATATCAATTAGGTCAAACTGGTCCAATGTATCATTTAAAGCTTGTGTTTCTTAATTTTCTGTCTGGATGATCTGTCCATTGGTGTGGTGCGGTGTTAAAGTCCCTCACTATTACTTTGTTACTGTTGATTTCCCGTTTAATATTTGGTAACATTTGCCTTCTATATTGAGATGCTCCTATGTTGGGTACACATATATTTATAATTATTATGTCTTCTTGGATTGATCCCTTGATCATTATGTAGTGTCCTTCTTTGTCTCTTGTAACAGTCTTTATTTTAAATTCTATTTTAAAATAGGCTGCTAAAATAGGCTGCTCGAGCCTTCTTTTGATTTCCCTTTGCATGGAAACGCAAATATCTTTTCTGAGCCCCTCACTTTCATTCTGTATGTGTCTCTAGGTCTGAAGTGGATTTCTTGTAGATAGCCTATATAGGCATCTTGTTTTTATATCCATTCAGCCAATCTGTGTCTTTTGATTGGAACATTTAATCCATTTATACTTAAGGTAATTATTGATATGTATGATCCTATTACCATTTACTTTATTGTTTGTGGTTTGGTTTTTTTAGGCCTTTTCTTTTCATCTTATGCTTCCTGTTTAGAAAAGTTCCTTTAGCATTTGTTGTAAAGCTGGTTTGGCGGTACTGAATTCTCTTAACTTTTCCTTGTCTGGAAAGGTTTTAATTTTTCCTTTGAATATGAATGAGATCCTTGCTGGATAGAGTAATCTTGGTTGTAGGCTTTTCACTTTCATCACTTTAAGTATATCCTGCCACTCCCTCCTGGCCTGCAGTTTCTGTTGAAAGATCAGTTGTTAGTTGTTATGGGGATCCCCTTGAATATTATTTGTTGCTTTTTCCTTGTTGCTTTTAATGTTTGTTCTTTGTGTTTAATTTTCATTAGTTTGATTAGTATTTGTCTTGGTGTGTTTCTCCTTGGGTTTATCCTGTATGGGACTCTCTGGGTTTCCTGGATTTGGGTGGCTATTTCCTTTCCCATGTTAGGGAAGCTTTTGACTATAAGTATTTTCTCCTATCCTTTCTTTTTCTCTTCTTCTTCTTGGACCCATATAATTCAAAGGTTGGATATGCATAGTGTTATCCCAGAGGTCTCTGAGACTGTCCTCTTCTTTATTCTGCTCTGCTTCAGTTATTTCCACCATTTTGTCTTCAGCTCACTTACTCAATCTTCTGCCTCAGTTATCCTGCTGTTGGTTCCCTCTAGTGTATTTTTAATCTCAGTTATTGTGTTGTTTATTGCTGATTGTCTCCTCTTTATTTCTACTAGGTTGTTAAACATTTTTGTATCTTTTTGATCCGTGACTCCAGTCTATTTATCTGTGCTTCCATTTTATTTATGTCTTTGGATCATCTTTACTATCATTACTCTTGATTTATTTTTGAGGTAGACTATTTTCTCTTCATTTGTTTGGTCTTGTGAATTTTTACCGTGTTGTTTTATCTTCTGGATGTTTCTCTGTCTTTTCCTTTTATTTAATTTACTGTGTTTGGGCTCTCCTTTCTGCAGGTGGGAAGGTTGTAGTTCCTTTTAACTGTGGAGTCTCCCTCCCCTGGGTGGGGTTGGACCAATGCCTTGTGAAGGTTTCCTGGTTTGGCGGATTTGTGCCTGTGTTCTGGTGGATGGAGCTAGATATTGTCTCTCTGAAGGACAGTGCTGGGTCCAGTAGTGTGTTTGGGGTGTGTATGGGTTTGATATAGCTTTGGGCAGCCTCTCTGCTAGTGAGCAAAGTTGTGTTCCTGTTTGCAGAAGTTTTGGTGTTAGGAGTCCACACTATAGCTTGCTGGCCTTTTGGGTGGGGCTTGGTCTTAGTGTTGAGATGAAGGCCTTTGGGAGAATTCTCATCAATTAATGTTCCATGGGTTTGGGAGTTCTCTGGGATCCAAAGTCCTGAACTTGGGTCTTCCATCTTTGGGGTTCAGGCCTGACCCCTTACTGTAGGACCAAGACTTCACAGGTCACACAGCAGAGAAGACTAATGGTGAAAACTCCACTGAACAGCCCAGAACACCCAAAGAAACTTACACACTTGCAAACAGAAGAAAAAGAGAAAAGAAATAAAATTAAGATAAAAGCGGAAGTCGGAAGAGAACAGTCAAGCCAATAGACAAACCCATAAGTGAAAATGAATACTAAAAACTAGACTAGCAAAAATACAAAATAAAAACATGGGGAAGATGTAATACAATTTAAAAATACTCTAAAAATAGGAAAATAAAATGAATTTATTTAAAAATAAGATGTTCTTTGAAAAGGAATAAGTAGGTTATAAAAAATAAAACAAGAATAATGGAGAAAAAACAACATTAGAACAGTATGAAAAAGGAAAAAAGAGCAAAGTATATATTGAGTGGTAATATGAAGAATATTCTTGTAATTCCTCCATTGCCTTTTCCACACTGTGTGCTCTAGTCAATCTGCCTATTCAGAAATTTCTCCAATATTTCTAGAAAGATCTGTGGAGCTGTTCTGTGCAGTGTCTGAGACTCATGTCTTGCCTTCCTCCAGCTTGTATTTGCTCCTAAAGTCCACAGTTGCTCCTAAGTCCACAGGCTAATTGTGGGGATTTAATCCACTGCACCTGCTGTAGGAGTGTTTCCCCCTTCTCTCCTTTGCTCACAAATCCTCTGGTGTTCCACTTTGGTTTTGGCCCTCCCTCTGCTTTAATTAAACTGCTCTCTGGTGTCTGTTCCCAACCCAGACCCAAGGCAGCCTATTAGGGCTCACATGCTCAGTGGGACATAGTTGGGGTGTGTGGGGAGTGCCTGCTGGAGCCAAGACCTGTGGTGAGTCGCCACAGTCTCAGGTGGCTCATGTACTTCCCCATGGGAGCTGGCCCTGAGTTGTGGGTCCCTCAGCAGAGTCAAACTGCTCAGGCTCCTAGGAAGGTGTGGGCAGTGACCTGTGGCTGCTCACAGCTTGGTGGCACTTGCAACCCCTGGGGTTGAGATTGTATTGGCCTCCTGCCCTCTGCCTCTAGCTCTCGCAGTGGCTTTTCTACCTTTGTAGACCGCAGCTGACTCATCCCACCTATGGTGCTTGCAAAGGCAAGGTCCTGCATTCTGGGAGTGTGCATAGTTAAAGCGTTCCCACAGCAATGATCTCTTGCCTCTCTGGCTGGCCCATGATTTTCCCTGGACTCCCTCAGCTGTGTTGTACTAGTCCCCTCAGAGTATCTTGATGGCAGCCAACCCTGATCCTCTCCCTGGGATCCGACCCCTAGAGCCTGAGCCTGAGCATCCAGCCCCAGTCGTCGTGGAGGGCATGTAAGCTGCTTCTCTGCTGGAAAGTGCTGTTTGACAACAAACTCTGGTGAATTCTCTGTTTTGCCTTCTAACCACCTGTTTCTGTGTTCCCTTTAGAGATTCCAAAGCTCCCCTCTGACCCCTCCTCTGAGGGGTTTCTGAGTGTGTGGAAACTTTCCCTCCAGGATTCCTTCCCAGGGGCACAGGTCCCTGTCCTGAAATCTTGTCTGTTTTCTTATCTTTATCTTTTGCTGTACCTCATTGTGAGTTATTTGGCTTGCCTTTTTGGAAGGCTGGTGTTCAGGAGGCATTCTGTAGAAGTTGTTCCATATTCAGATGAATTTTTGATGTATTTGTTGGGTGCAGAGGGTAATCTCCCCATCTTATTTCTCTGCCATCTTGAAAGTCCTTGAGGTGTGAATTTTTAACAATTATTTTTTACCTTCTTTCTTCCAGATGAATATGAAAACAGGAAAAGGGTGGGTGAATGTTGGAAATGCGGTGCTTGCTGATGAGTTTTTTCAATACGCCGTGACTGTAAGTTACTACTGATTTTTAACTGTTAGTAGCAGTTGTGGTTATTGTTATCATTACATTGTATTGTGGTTTATTTTCCAGAGTCTGGAGCAGTTATATTTCAAATTAACTCAGAAGAGCCCCACTGAGGAACATGTGATTATGCAGAAGACTGCTGTGGAGAGGGACCTTTTGAAAGTGCTTTCTTACCAAGCAGAGGCAGTAGGTATCATAGTCATCAGAGCTTTACAGTGGGGCATTTTCTATATGTAAATGCAAAAGCAATAAGATATAACCTATTAGAAGAAAGTCAGGTGTCATTGGTCTTTTATTGCATATTATATTTGACCTTTTTAATCTTTGTTTTATAGCTGAAGGTGACATTACTAATGGTAATTGGTATTTATTGGGGTAGATGAAATTGAAAAGACTTAGATAACTAATCCTTATTTTCAATGACTGCATGTAATATCTATCATTTATTTGTGGCAGTGGTCTATTTAAAACACCTATCCTGGTGACTCTCTTACATTCATAGTATGCCTAAAGTGTGTTCAGTCATTTTGACTCTTTGTGACCCCATGAACTGTAGCCTACCAGGCTCCGCTGTCCATGGAATTCTCCAGGGAAGAATACTAGAGTGGTTTGCCATTTCCTTCTCTAATACCTAAAGTATTACCCCAAAAGAGCCTTCACATTTGCAATTATTCTGGGTTGTTTGCTAATATTTTCTACAAGTGTGCTGATGTTAGTGTTCAGAGTTGTACTTTACCTCCGTTTGACTTATAGGTTTCCTTCTTTTGTGACCACGCTGTTTGGTGTGCATTTTAAGTTGACAAAATGTTAGCTGTGATGAGTTTACTCTCTGAAATTATGTAATTCTGGAAATGAAAGAGAACTTAAAAATCATCTAATCTTATTTTTATTTTTTAACATCTTCACAGAAATATAATTCGTATACAGTAAAATTCACACATTTAAAAATATAATTCAGTGGTTTCAGTATATTCATACAATTGAGAACTTTTAGCACAATCTTAAGTTTAAAACATTTTCATTACCCCAAAAGAAATCCCCTATCCATTGCAGTCACTCCCTATTCCTCCTGACCGCTAGCAACCGCTAATTTACTTTCTGTCTTTATAGATTTATCTATTCTGTACATTTCATATAAACGAGATCATATAACAATCGATCTTTTGTGCTTAGCTTCTTTCACTTAGCATGTTTCTAGATTTAATCTATGTAGTGAAAGTGAAAGTCATTTAGTCATGTCCAATTGTTTGGAGCCCATGGACTATACAGTCTCCAGGCCAGAATACTGGAGTGAGTAGCCTTTTCTTCTCCAGGGGATCTTCCCAACCCAGGGACTGAACCCAGGTCTCCTGCATTGCAGGCAGATTCTTTACCAGCTGAGCCACAAGGAAAGCCCAATTTATGTTGTAGCATGTATCAGTATTTTTATTACCAAATATTATTGTACTATATGGATATACCACATTTTGTTTATCCATTCAGCTATTGATGAACATTTGGATTGTTTTCAATTTGGAGTTATCGTAAATAATTCTACTGTGAACATTCATGTACAGGTTTTCGCATGTACATGTTTTTATTTCTCTTGGATACATACCTAGAAATATAATTGCTCAATAACATGATAACTCTGTTTAACCTTTTATGAAACTGCTGGACTGTTTTCCACAGTGGCTTTGTACCATTTTCCACTTCTGCCACTAGTCTCTGAGGGCTCTAATTTCTTCATTCTAGGAATTTTATAGATTTAGAATTTACATTTAGGACTTGACCCATTTCAAGTTAATTTTCTTTATAATATTTGGGTTTTTTAAAAAAATTTATTTCTTTGACTGTGTTGGGTCTTAGTTGCAGCATGTGGGATCTACTTCCCTGACTAGGGATCGAACTCCAGGCCCCCTGCATTGGGAGCATGGAGCCTTAGCCACTGGACCACCAGGGAAGTCCCCCTCAAGTTAATTTTCATGTATGGCATGAGATGAGAGTCCATTTGCATTCTTTTGCATGTAACTCTCCAGTTGTCCTAGCACCATTTGTTGAAGACTATTCTTTCCCCATTGAATGGGGAATGTCAAAAATTAATTGATCAGAAATGTGAGGATTTATTTCTGAACTGTTGATTCTGTTCCACTAATCTATATGTTTATCCTTATACCAGTACTATGGTGTCTTGAGTACAGTAGCTATGTAGTCAGTTTTGATATAAGGAAGGGTGAATTTTCCAGCTTTGCTATTTTTCAGGATTATTTGACTCTTCTGGGTCTCTTGCATTTTCGGAAAAGCTTGTTAATTTTTGCAACAAAGCCAGCTGGAATTTTGATAAGAAAACCACTGAATCTGTGGATAAGTTTGAGGAGTATTGCTATCTTAATAATGTTAAGTGTTTTGATCCATGGATATGAGATATTACCCATTTAGTTAGGTTTTAATTCCTTCTCATTTTTTAAATGATGAAACTGAGGTTCAGAGAGACGATACGAGTTAATTGAAGATCTAAGACTAGAACCATGATTCTCTGACTTTTAGTCTAACACTCCCTACCCAAAACTTTATTGTTGTTCTAAGTCATGTCCAACTCTTGTGACCCCCCATGTACTATGGCACACCAGGTTCCTCTGTCTCCCCATTGTCTCTTGGAGTTTACTCAAATTAGGTTGACTGTATTAAAAGAAAACCCTTTGTGTTAATTTTGTTTGCTTTTAAATGTTAATATCCTTTGTTGGTTACTTTAATGCAACTACTAAAAAATTGATATGAAGTCCAGCAGGTCTTGGTCTTATATCTTAACTCTTCTACCAACTCGCTGTATCACCTTGGGCTGTTACTTACCCTCCTCAGGCCTATAAAAATCTAATATTTAAGAGATCACAGCTCTATATCATATACTGTGACAGGGATGCATTTGGCTTGATAGTAGTTCATGTGAAAAAGACCTATGTGGTTTATTTTATTTACTGTTTTGTTGATGTATAGTTGATGTACAGTGTTCTATGTTACACATGTACAATATAGTGATTGATGATTTTAAAAGTTACACTCCGTTTATAGTTATTATAAAATATTCCCATATTATACAGTATATTCTTATAGCTTATTTTATTCATAATAGTTTGTACCTCTTAATCTCCTACCCCTATATAGCCCTTATCCCCCTTCCCTCTCCTCATTGGTAACTGCAAGTTTGTTCTATGCATCTGTGAGTCTTATTTCTGTTTGTTTTATTCTCTAGTTTGATGCAGTTCTTAAATTCCACATACAGCATTTTTCTTTCTCTATCTGGCTTATTTCACTTTTTAGCATAGTATCCTCCCAAGTCCATCTATGTTGTTGCAAATGGCAAAAGTATATTTTTTTATGGCTGAGTAGTACTCCAGTACATATACATACCACATCTTCTTTTGGAATCTATTGATGGATATTTAGATTGATTGCATATGTTGGCAATTATAAATAATTCTGCTATGAACATTGGGGTGAATGTATCTTTTTGAGTTAGTGTTTTATTTTTCAGATATATACCCAGGAATGAAATGGCTGGGTCATATGGTAGTTCTATTTTTAGTGTTTGGAGAAACTTCTATCCTGTTTTCCATACTAACTGTACCAGTTTACAGCCCATAGTGTATGAGGGTTCCCTTTTTTCCACATTCTTGGCAACATTTGTCATTTGTGTTCGTTCTAATGATAGCCATTCCGACAGGTGTGAATCAATATCTTATTGTGTTTTGACTTGCATTATTATGTGCCTGTTGACCATCTGAAGGTCTTCTTTGGAGCTGTCTGTTTAGACCTGCCCATTTTTAATCAGATTGTTTGCTTTTTTGATGTTGAGTTGTATGAACTGTTTATATATTTTGGATATTAATCCCTTATCAGTCATAGCATTTACAAATATTTTCTCCCATTCAATTGATTGTCCTTTCATTTTGTCATTGGTTTCCTTTGCTGTGCAAAAGCTTTAAGTTTCATTGGGTCTCACTTGTTTATTTTTGCTTTTATTTTCTTTGCTTTAAGAGAAAGATCCAAAAAACCATTGCTACTATTTATGTTATGAATTTTCTGCCTATGTTTTCTTCTAGGAGTTTTATGACTTTCAGTCCTTCATTTTAGGTTTTTAATCCATTTTGAGCTTACTTTTGTATTTGGTAAGAGAAAATGTTCTAATATCATTCTTTTGCATGTAGTTGTCCAGTTTTCCTAGCGCCACTTGTTTCAGAGACTATCTTTTCTTCATTGTACATTCTTGCTTCTTTTTTTTTTTTTTCAAGAAAATGATAAGCTAGTTTGAAATTTAGGCTATAAATACTTTTTGAAAAATGGACAAAGGAAAATGTAAGTGCCAGATGAGTGGCATAGATCAAGTGGAGCACAGACTTTAAGGTGATAAGGTGATGCAAATATTGTGTTTACCCTTGTGCCACAGATTATCCATCTATAACCTTTAGCGCTGTAGAAGGAACTATAGATCTTGGTGTTTCTCCAAATTACCCATTCCCCTTGTCTACTGGCAATGCCTCTTTCTGCTGGCTATATCATCTGCTGCTCCCTTTCCTCTTTTTTTTTATGGCCTTGAAAATTTTGCTGAGTTCATTTATTTAAAACAATCCGATTTCTTTCTAAAATTTTTAAAGTTTATTTTTAATTGGAGGATAATTCTTTTACAATGTTGTGTTGGTTTCTGCTGTGCAACAGTGAATTAACCATAAGTATACATATATCCCCTCCCTCTTGAGCCTCCCTCCCACTCCCTCCTACGCTTCCCTCTTTACTAGAGTAAGAGCACTTATAAAAGATGGTATGGTCATAGGAACATATGAGCCATTAGCTTATCCAGAAAGACTATGATTAAGGGTATCCTGAAGATGTAAGTCAAGTGGAAAGTCCACTACCTTTATTATACCAAGAGCCCCAGTCCTCTATCTTTCCTACTAGTTAAGTATTAGCATAAAAATTAATCTGTACATCATCAGTATCTAGTATGGTATCTGGCACATAATAAATAATATGTTAAATGCATGTTCTACAAATGAAGCTGCTTTTCTATTATCCCTCTCTGACCTGTTTGTCCCCCTGAAGAGTGATGGTAGTACTGTCCAGTTGTTCAGTTGTGTCTGACTCTTTGTGACCCCATGAACAGCAGCACACCAGGCTTCCCTGTCCTTTACTATCTCCCAGAGTTTGCTCAA